CGTAAAACGGAACAGCTATACAGCTATGTGCAACTTGTTGATGAAGTTGTATACGTATGTTAAGGCCTGCACACATATGTAAATATGTATTATAGTTATGTACATATATATATATATATGTATAGGGACGGTTCCTTATGAAGTTGGTGCTTCTATAATTTCTGTCCCCTTGGGGTGTACCACCAGCAGCAGAGCTTCGACCCTCTGAGCAACCTGCGTTAGAGAAGTCAGCACGCAGATTGAGGCCTCCCTGCTTGCGGGCCTGCCGCAGGACTAAACCCTTCCCAAAGGCTCCATGTACCTTTATAGAAGATACTTAAGCCTTAAAGGGGTCCCTATGTAGGTACTTTAAGGCTTAAGTATATACTATAAGGGTACATGGAGCCTTAGGGCTTATCATGGTTTCGGGTTTAGGGTTTGGGGATTAGGGTTTAGGGCCTTATAGGGGTTAGGGTTCGGGGTTTGGGGATTAGGAATTAAATTTAGGCTTTCAGGCATGCCCTAAACCTTAAACCCTTGAATGCGACGAGCCCTACACCCTAAACCCGGTTTAAGGCTTAGAGATGCTACGGATTCAACTGGGCTTCGTGGAGGTACAAAAAGCACGATCTTCGTTTGTTCTTGACAAGTGGGACTGGGGGTTCAACAAGGATTGGAGTCGACTTAGGTGGAGCGTTTTGCCGTTCAGGGTGTAGGGTTTAGTCGATTTGGGGTCAGGTTCTATATTGATTGGCAAGCCACTATGTGGCTTCAAGACAGCGCACAATTGACACAATCTCAGGTGATCCGTGATTTCATGGCACAGGCTGCTGCTTAGAGTGGAAGTGTTTGATGCAAAAATGGTGTCTCGTGACGCTTTGCCCAAAATCTTCTTGTGCCCTCCTGCACACACCCACATCTTCGCCCTCAACCCGCACTTACAGTACACCCCATAAAGTTGGAAACCCGATTAAGGCCAAATAGTGCTGAGAATTCCCCATACATTACACTTAGGACTTGAAGCTATTGGGTTTCCAACTTTTGGGCTTCTACTAGACACAGGCTGGACAATGGCTGAAACCGAATCCGCTCCCGTATGGGCCGCCATGCGCACGCCTCTCGACACCCCGAATCTAAAGGCCACAGCGTATGTCCCTTACTCCAATAGGGACAACATATATATATATATATATATATATATATATATACATAGACACACACACACCTTCATGTGAAAGCTAAGCAACTGTGGCCTGAAGTTTAATCTGGACTTGAAGCAACCTTCATGTCAACAGTGAAAACCCCAACCCCCTCGAATTTACAACACTACACTACACCTTAGAAGGGGCGCCCACCCTGCAATAGTGGCATAATAGGAATATAACAGGGCCCTAAAATAATCCTTATAGTCACTGTTACAGGGTGGGGACAGCTTCGCTACTACACCCTGCAAACTGCCAAATCCTAAAGCCGTTTGATGCGCCTTGCGCTTGGCCCGACGAGTGTCAGGGTCTGGCCTCGAAAACGGGCATCTCCCAGCTGAGATAAGGCAAATAAAGCTCAGCGGAATGTTACACGATCGGAAAATCTGCATACATAGACATACATACGTACAAAACGACGTAGGTACTTACTTACTTACTTATATACATACTTACCGACCTACTGGTACATACTATCATACATACATGCTTCATTGCATTACATTACAGTATTCTACCTAGCGTTACGTACCTTACATAGGTAGATAGGTAGCTCGATCGATAGATGGACCGATCGATGGATAGATCGATCCGTAGAGAATGCTATATAAACGTCTACCCGTCAAGCAAATACCGCTACACCAGGGGTTGTCAGGCTCCGAGTTGGTAATTCAGAGAATTTACCTGCACCTACCAAAATCTACTCTTGTGAAGAGTCCCTATGAAGTCTGTCTTTAGGGCTTGTAAGACGTGCCTACAGGAAATTGGTGACGGTACAGCGTTCGGCCTGCCCCCTGAGCAATGGCCAGTAACCAACAAAACGGCTGTAATCATCCCTGGCCAAACTGCAGCTAGTCTTTCACCAACTTTTCCGACGTTGCCCACACGGCCAGTGAGAAGAAAAACCCTAAACGCCTAAACCCTAAATCCCTAAACCCTAAACCCTGCTTACTCGCAGTCAGCTTGGCGGATTCCCATTTGCTTTCGTTCTCGGCGGAGGAGTCAACCCATCGCCCCGAGTCAGCTACCAGCTTCTGACTGACCGAGGCGCACCACTTGGAGGGGCAGGGGACTTAGTAAGTAGGTTATAAGTATATAGGGTTACAATTGGGGTAACTCCATTTAGGGTACTTATAACTCTACTTATAACCTACTTACTAAGTCCCCTGCCCTTCCAAGCACGGGAGTTTCCGAAAATAGGGAACCCTCATATAGTACCCCTAAATAGTAGGATCCCTATTCTAAGGACCCCAGAAGAATGTACACCTAATTTTACAAGCGCAACACTAGGACGGCACACAAAGACTCCACTCGGGCCTGCGCGTGTCCAGGGCAGGTAAACACTAAGTACCCCAGCCTTGGTCTATCGGCTGCCACCTGTCCGTCTCTTCAAGCGTCCGTAACATATGAATGTCTTCGCGGAGACCTTCAGGAAGTCAACGAAGCATCCGATAGGATTTTCTCCAGCGCTGCCTCTGTAGTTTAAGGCAGGGTGTAAGGTGCAAGGTGCAGGATTTAGAGTAGCATTGAGGGTAACGTTAATAGTGGACATTTTTTGGCGTATACCATAGCCAATTCAAAATATATATATATATATATATATATATATGGAGACACCAGAAAGGATCCTGTTTGTAATGATCAGACACCCCCCCAAAGCCGTGAAAGAAATAACAGTCCGAGAAGTCCTAAACGCCCTAAACACTTTCCCAAAGAAATTAATGTCTGTAGAAATCTTTATATATATATATATATGTATGTATATGTATGTATGTATGTATGTATGTATGTATGTATTATGTATGTTTGTTTGTTTATATAATACATATATGGGGCCTGGGTAATTCGCAAACTTTAGGGTTTATAGGGTTTCGTAAGCTTAGGGTAAGAATATTTTTGGCCAGTATCCCTTGAGAGTACATGCTGCAGGTGCAGACCCAAACATTCCCGGCCACCCTCGACCCCAAAACCCTATCCCTCGCTTCACCAAAAAACCCTAAACCCTAAACCCTATAGTAGAAGCCGGATAGTTGGAACATCAATGTCCCCGTGCTCTTAAAGTAAAGTATAGGGAATCCCAGCAAGAATCATCCTAAATCTTTCTGGGGTTCTCTATAAGAAAAAGCCTGGCTCACCCTAAACCCTAAACTAAACCCCCCAAACCCCCAAACCCTAAACCCCCAAACCCCTAAACCCCAAACCCTAAACCCTGAACCCTAAACCCTAAACCCTACTATACCCTAAACCCTAAATAAAACCCCTAAACCCCAAACCCTAAACCCTAAACCCTACTATACCCTAAACCCTAAATAAAACCCCTAAACCCCAAACCCTAAACCCTAAACCCTACTATACCCTAAACCCTAAATAAAACCCCTAAACCCCAAACCCAAAACCCTAAACCCCACTATACCCTAAACCCTAAATAAAACCCCTAAACCCCAAACCCTAAACCCTACTATACCCTAAACCCTAAATAAAACCCCTAAACCCCAAACCCTAAACCCTAAACCCTACTATACCCTAAACCCTAAATAAAACCCCTAAACCCCAAACCCAAAACCCTAAACCCCACTATACCCTAAACCCTAAATAAAACCCCTAAACCCTAGTCCCTAGATAAAAGCCTAGCTCCTGGCCTGGCTACGCGGAATCCGTCCAAGCCCTCTGGCCTCAGCGTCTTCAGGGCTTTGATCAAAGGGGAAAAGGAGGGACCCTTAGTTTTGGGCTCTTAGGGTTCCAACAAGTATACACTTATATTCCGTGGTTCCTTAACTTTAAGGAAGAGGTCCAAAATAATAGTAAGTATAGCACCCCAAAACCCAGTCTCAGACCCTAAACCCTAAAACCCTAAACCCTATTTCTTCTCCCAAGGAGAGCCGGGTTTCGGCTGTCTATGAGGGTTGCTCAAGGGCTTAAGGTCTCTAGACTCTAGTCTTTACATGGCTCCCACAAGGCTAGATCTCATACTACAGGCTTTTTGGGTGCAGGGCAGGGCTTAATACACTCAGAGCGTGGCAGGGTTGCGTGCCTGGCTACAAGCAGGCTATGCCAGACAACGTGCTGAACCTCAAGGAGCCGAGGTTGGTAAGTAGAGACATAGTGCTGCAGCACGAGGCTGCAGAAACATAGCAGCGCTCCTCCAGCCAACACTGCAAGTCACGAGCCCTAGACCCCTGAACCCTTCTTGCGCTCCGAAGTCCAGACAGCCAGAAAGACAGACATAAGTTAGTGTTTCGGGCTTAGGGGTTGAGGACCCGGAAGAATGAAACACATCTGCCTCTCCGTCCACGATGCAGTGTGCCTATGCCACAAGAACCCGACCCTAAGTCCCAATTGAGAATTGATTCACAGGGTTTAGGGTTTAGGGGTTTAGGGTTTAGGGGTTTAGGGTTTAGGGTAAGGTAGTAGGGCAGGTTGAGGTGTGTAAAGCCGCTCAACCACGAACAAAAGGTCTTCTGACGGGGCCATTGTTCTTGTGCAAGACATACTTACAACCAAACATACCGATACTCCCTGAAAAGGAAACATGCAGACCACTGATTCAAAACCGCTCTTCCCTCATTCGAGTTAACATTGGGGCCCTATGAAAAGGGTTGAAGGAGATTATTGATCACAGACCTACAATACGAAGACCTGTAATGAGATTCTCAACATGATGTTGTGCAGATCTGTAAAGACTGTAGCTCAACTAAGCTGTACTAGGTTCCTGAGTAGCCCAAGAAAACCAGGGTACCCTGTTTCGCAAATTTCGAGGAAACACGGGACAAGATACCTCAAGTGTCGGCCTTTGATGCCTGACATGGACGGGAATAGTCCTTACTCATTTTTCGGATTGCAGAAGTTGGTCGACAGCAGCCCGCCAACTCTGTTGTCCAAAGGGATGGCAAGCTCCTTATATTGCTGCAACACCCTGTGGAACAATGATTTCATCTTCGCATCTTGGGTGCCTGGCCAGCCAGGCTTCATGACGAAGTCAAGGCAGCAGTTTGCAATGGTCTGTGCTGCAATACCTTCCTCGAGAATGTGGAGGGTGTCGTGGGTGAGAGTTTCACCGACGACCACGGGGATGGTCGCCACCAAGTGATCAGCGGGGCAGCTGCCCTTGTGTTGAATCACCGTTGTTCTCCATACTGCATTCGGCCTGAAATCAGTGAAAGGCACGTCGCTTGTGTTGGCCTTGCAGGAAAAGCAGCATTCATTGAAACTGCTGCCTGGCAGTTTATACTCATTCTGAAAACCGAAACTCCCATAGATCCCTTGTCGAGCCCTTTAAGGAGCCCTTTAAGGAACCCTTTAAGGAGCCTAGTGTAATTACGCTCCCTGGGTTCAGGTATGGGATTTCAAGTTACCGGATCGAAGGCAGCCCGAAGCTCCGAGCGACTATCCAGACCTCCGAACCTGGTCCTTACTTGGAGGGGCAGGGGACTACCCATAAAGATGAGGGCTCTTAAAGGGCTCCTTAAAGGGATCTATAGGGTTCCTTAAAGGGGTCTATGGGGTTTAGGGTTTAGGGGTCTATTTGGAGGGCAGGGGACTTGGTAACTAGGTTATAAGCAGGCATTTAGGGTACTTATAACTCTACTTATAACCTACTTACTAAGTCCCCTGCCCTTCCAAGTAATGATTAGAATCGGTTTAGAGTTTTGGGCTTAGGGGATTAGAATAGGGCTTTGGGGTATATAGTACTGTAAAAATGATAAGGAACTGTCAGGAATAATTAATGTGTTCAACTATTTTCTAGATCAGTCCTCATACACTCAATCTGCACTTGGGTCCCGGGCAAATCGCTGGCACTCATGTTTGCTTCCACGCTTGTGGGGGAGTTGGCACGATTGTTGCGGTTGGTGCTCGACGTCGGGCTGGTATACTCCTCCGACACAAACAATTACTGCACACACTCGGGATTAACATCACATGTCTGTTCATATCCACAGTACTACTGAAGACCGTGTTCGTGACGCTGCCGAGCATCGGCACTTTCGGAGGTTCCTATTAGTACATGAAAGCCAAAGCCCTAAAACCTAAACCCCTAAACCCAAAACCCTAGATCTTGAATCCCTTGAGGCAGAACCGTTGCTGCGGGAGATCAGTGCCCGTCCTTGTAAGGAGTTGGCGACATGTCAGGAAAGCTCCTTCGAAATGGGTTCTTGTTCGGGAACTTCATGTACAATAACAGCGATCTTTAGTAAATCATACGGCTTGCATATTTTGATAACTTAAATGGACACTGCTTCTTACGCTCTGAAACGCCCTGTGGCCGGAGCACATCCACCTGGACTCCTATCCTTGTACGGGTCCATGTACTCACACGACATATAATATACTCAGGCCTTGACGTAGTCCCTATAACAGTAACAGTTCAGTGATATAGTTATATATGTATAGTTGTTTACATGTATCTCTCTCTCTGTCGCTCTCTCTCGCTCGCTCTCTCTTTTTGGCTCAGAGGCGAGGGTTCAGGGTTTAGGGAAGCAGGGCCAAGTCAACACGGTAATGCTTCGCGACGCCGAGCTTGCATTTGCAATCGCCGGGTCTGTCAATGCTTAGACTGTGGAGGTTCTAGGTTGTGGGAGTTTCAGAAAACAACGGATAAAGTGTAGAACTGTAGAACTCTCAACATTGGGTTCCTAACTATGAGGATCCCCCTTTGTGCGAAGCTTTTGTTATCAAAGCCGTTCGAGAAGCCTCGCAAAGCGTGGTCCCAATTTAAACCTTAAACCCCATAAACCCCTAAAGCCCAGACCCACGAAGCACAAAACCCTAAAACCAACAACAACCCTGATTTTTTTAAATAACCTTTACCTTGAACCCTAAACCCTAACCTTTAAATGGTGGCCAAGGCGCCCCGTAGTGAAGTCCCCTTCACTGGGCATCGAAGGGAGCCTTGTCGTTTCTGAGCTCATAATTATTGGTTTAGGGTTTAGGGTATAGGATTCATTTCAAAGGGCAACTTCTAAACGGGTCTGTGAAGGTTGACATAAGGAACTCTATAATATTGAAGTGGTGTTGTGCAGTATATCAAGGTATAAGTACACAAACTAAGGACACCCGAAGGACAAATCTTGGCTACTATTTACTTAAGAACCCCCAAAAAATAGAAAATCATAAGCCCTATATTACCCCTATAAGGAATATATGTTTTGTTTTTTGGGGGTTCTTAAGCAAATAGTAGTTGGTAATTATTCAAGCGGTTGTGCGCGAGGTCTCCAAAGTTCTTCCTTTCGGGCTTTAAAGGGCTTGGGGCTAAGAGAGGCTCTATAAATATCCTCAACCAGGGTGCTAAGGTTTCGATGTTTAGGCTGCCTTGTGTCGGTGGGGGGGGGGGGGGGGGGGGGGGGGGGGGGGGGGGGGGGGGGGGGTGGCTGGGTGGGGCTTTGGGCGTTCTGGGGTTCTGGGGTGCTGAGGTTAGGTCCCCGGGCTTGGTTTCCATAATTCTGGTGTTCTGTGGTCTAGGGTTTAGGTGGGTCATGTCTTGCCTGCCGCCGCCTTTCACTGCCAGTGGAATCACTGTTAAGGCCCTCGCTCTACCTAAAACTCGAACCTTTATTGTACCTTTGCTTTTGAAACAAAGTGGCCCTGAAGGGGCTCAAGGCAGCCCCACGGTAAACCCTGTCAGGAGCCTTTAACGGAATCCACTGTGATGAACGAGTGCTCCACCGGAGGAACATCTCTTAACTCGTCATCAGGAGCCCTTCCTGGGTAGTTTTAGGTAAACCCCTCACTGCAAAGGCATTCCCAAACAGCCTCAAAGCCAATCAACTAAGGACTACGCATTACATGACAAAGGGCTGATCTGTCTTAATGCGCCTATTCCATCAAGTAAGATGTTATAGTGAGTCCCAGAAAGTTGGAACACGGATTCAGGATTATTAGTGCTGGGATGCCCTGTACTTTACCTTAAAAGCATGGGGACTGTGATGTTCCAACTTTCTGGCTTCTACTTTATCTTGAACCATCATCAGCAGCCCTGTACACTTACGCGAGTCAAAGTCCTAAAGCCTTGACCCTCAACCGTAAAACCCACAAAACCCTCAACCCTTGAAGCGCTACTTGGAGGGGCAGGGGACTTAGTAAGTAGGTTATAAGTAGGGTTATAGTTGGGGCAACTCCATTGGGGGTATTTATAACTCTACTTATATCCTACTTACTAAGTCCCCTGCCCTTCCAAATACTTGGTGTCCCGCTCAATCGCCACAGTTGTAGATCCGAATAAGTCTCTTTCGAAGAGACCAGTACCATGGGCCCAGAGTGTGAAGACCTGAAAAAATGGTGGTGGCGTCCCGGGTTAGGGTCAACTAGCTATGAGCTGAGTGCTTGAGCTGACTGCTATTGTGATCATTACTACGATTCTTACATTGATACATTTCTATCCTTCATATTCTTACTATGATTATGAGTGGAATCATTTTATGGCTTCTCTCACTTCCAGCCTAGGAAACTGTAAAACTACAAAAGAAGATTTGTGCAATTCTATCTCTGCTTCGTTGACTGTGTCATTGCTTACTTTCGCGTGCGTGTGTTGCAGCTTTTGTTTCCAGGGTCTGCACACAGTACATTCAGTGCACTGACCTGGCGTCAGGACTGCGCACGAAGACTGAACATGTGATTCTGCACGATTCTGTGCCCACTGAAGGTGCACAGAGAAAGGCCGTCTGGGCTAACCTGTCATGTGTTCGTAAGCAAACGCTGAGGCACCTGATACCATGTGACAATAAGCAGAGGGCTGGGTCCAAGAAACAAACTCCAACGTCCCTCAACCTCCCCCCCCCCAACCCTTAAACCCCCTAAACCCCAAACTCTACACTCCCAAATTCCCCAGCAAAGCAAGCCCTGGACCTGAACCTGCAAACCGCACCCTTCAACCCCCAACCCTGAACCCTTGAACCCTGAGGCCCGGACGCCGGCAGCAGCGCTCATCACCTTGGCAAGGGTTTCGTTTTTTTTAAAGGGTTTCGGGGTTTAGGGTTCAGGGTTTGTAGGGGACAGGGTTTCGGACTTAGGATGATGGGCCTGGGAGTCACAGGGCGCTGGGTTGAAAGGCTTTGGGGTTCAGGGTTTAAGGAAGAACGGGGCCTTACATCTGACGAAGGATTCTGCTAGAGTTTCAGGAATGTTGCCGATCCTAGCCTAAGCCTAAACCCTCCACCACATAAACCCTAAACCCTTCCCTGACTGCCTCCTCAGCCAAGAGCGCACGACAGCCAAGTCTGGAGCCAACGACCAGGGCTGGAGGCAACGGCCACCAACTTGAACGGACAAAAGCTTTAGCTAAGCAGCTCGTGAGCTCTTCAAGGGCTCTCTATAACCATATCCCTTACCCCAACACCCTGAGTATAGTTCAAGATCGGCTCTACCGGGATTCTCTGCGAGTGCTGTATGTCTCTACGGGTTGAGCCTTTAGGGCGTAGGACAACCCTAGCCCTAGACCACAAGCCATAAGTGGGGGAACTAAACCCTACAGCCTTAAGCCCACAAACTTCTAAACTTTACACCCCCCGAAGAAAGACCCCGAACGGCTTGGCGCCAGGCAGAGAACGAGAGCATGGAGGGTCCAATGCCGGCAAAGTTCGCGGCTGATGGAAAGCCGTTTGACAGGGTTTTGCTTTGTGCTTTAGGGCTTTGGGGTTTCAGGCATTGGGGTTGAGGATTCAGGGTCGCTTTGTGCGGTGGGATTCAGCATTGAGGGATTTTGCTGCTTCGCGTGCTGCGATGTGCACGTTCGTGATTTGGATTTGGGCTGTGGCTCCAGCTTTAGGAATTGCTTCATACGGGGATAAGTTGCTGCCAACCATCCAGGTCTCGTCTTGTACCATTCACATGGGTAGTTGTCAAAATTAGGTTCCCTTTTTGGGTACCCTAAATAATAGGTGCCGTATTATATATCTATATATATATATATATATATATATATATATATATATATTCTTTTTTTAAGGACCCCAAAAGAGACCATAATTTTGACAACCACCCACATCAGGAGAGGCCATGAAGACTGCAATTGTCCTCAAAACTCGGCCTTGCCTACTCTGCCTCGACTGAAGGGGACCATACTAGGGAAAGCATATAGCAGCATGAAGACAGAAGGTCTTCTGTATTGTGGTGGCGACTGAGATCAAGTTTCTCAATCATAAACCCTAAACCCTAAACCCTAAACCCCAACCCCTAAACCCTAAACCCTAAACCCTGGACCCTAAACCCTAAACCCAAAACCCTAAACCTTAAACCCTAAACCCTAAACCCTAAACCCGTTCGGAAGTTCTGTGGAGCCTAGATCCGAGAACTGTAGAAGCCGTAGACTGTCAACACTTCTCTGACTGCAAGACCTGAGACGCAACGGTTTAAGGTTTAGGGTTTAGGGTTTAGGGTTTAGATAGAAATACTCTCCCTAAATCTGCACCCCGGGCATGCCTTAAAACTCTAACTCAGACCCGCATGAACATCTGAAAAATAGATCTCCTAGTTGGGAACCCTACACTACTAAAGGCTACTTGAAAGGAAACCCCTTAAGAGATCTGGTCTACTTCGTGGATACTCCCCGGGTCTGGAAAATCCTAAACATCTAAACGAAACCTGGGTTTCCCAGTAGCCCCTTAACAATAAGGTTGTACTGGGAGACCCTAAGCCTTGCAAACCCTAAAGAGCCTAAAGCCTAAACCCCAACTAGCCTCTAACATACACTAAATGCCCACTATTAAGGAGGCAGTTGGGGTGAGTCCTGGAAAGCCCGAACCCTGGTAATAACGCAAAGGATACTTTGCCTGGTTTCAACTCGTCCGGCATGGTCAGTCGATCGATGGCCTCGCCAGACAGAGGAGTGGATGCGTCTTTTGTCGAAACATGGTCCAAATAGGGTTTCTTGAAGGGTTCCTTTAAAGGGTTACTACCAGGGTTCTATAGGGTTTAGGATTTCAGGGTCCATGTACCCAGATAGTATATACTTTGGCCCTTCTTGCCTAATCCAACCCGACAATGTACCCGAATAGTATATACGTTTGCCTTAAAGTCGTCCTCATATAGGTACTTTCGGGCCAAAGTAGATACTGGTTGGGTACATGGACCCTTGGGGTACCCAGAGACTCCAATATCCCTTAACTAAGGAATACCCCTTAAATCATAGTAGGATCCCTAGTATGATTTAAGGAATATTCCTTAATTAAGGGATGTTGGAGTCTCTGGGTAGGGGCTCTTGTCCGACTGCCAGCAGTCTGAACTACGGAAGCCTCCCAAGCAGGAACGGTCTCTGGGATTTGGGATAATGTAGGAACCTTATTTATTAAGAAACCTTGGGCCTTTATTAGGGTGCCTTACATGAATCCTACTATTTTGGGGTTATAGGCCCAGGGTCTCTTAATCAGCTTCACATTAAGAGGTTTCAGATTTGGGTTTAGCGGTTTAGGGCTTGCGGTTGAGGGCCAAGGGGTTCGGGGAGTTGGGTTTAGTGAGTTTAGCGGTTCACCATATAGGGATCTATTGTCATAACATAACAGGGATCTATTGTACTAACGTGGCTTCCTCGTTTTGGCAACTTATATATTATCAATATTAATAATAGTATTAGTATCAATATTATTAATATATTAATTTAAATAATAAATATTATATATTGAACTCCCAATCCAGAACCGCGGTAGTTTCGTGCGTCAAGTCGAAGGATAAGTGTCTTTCGAGGTGGAGGAGTCCCAAACATGGGAGTTTCCGATAAGTACGGGTACCTGAGTTTGGGGTCCTTATAAGAAGGATCCTAGTATTTAGTGTGCTATATTAGGGTCCCCTATTTTCGGAAACTCCCATCTGAGATCTGGCGCTAAGGGATCTTTTTAATAACACCTACTCACAGAGAGAGCCCAATCCCAAACTTACGGACTCTATGCCATAAGGCAGAATGATAAGCCCAGTATGACCTAACGTGCATTCCTTAATTGAGGGGCATGGAACTCTCTGGGTACCTTCATCCCATCCTACTATTCCATAAATTCCCGCTGTCTGCAACTCCCATCTCCTCCAGCCCATTGAGAATCGAAAGCCCCGCAGGCTAGGAAACCCCGATGCCTGAGCATACAGGTCTGATCTTAGTGTACTTCTCTTCCATATTACGGTCCCCATATCATGACAATAAGCTATGATGTACACAACAGTGGACTTTGAAGTAACCAGGGAAAAAAGTAGAGACTTTTATTTGATAATGGCTCCTTAAAAGAACAGGTACCAAAAGAAGTGCTCAAGTATGGTACTCCAGAACCCAGAACATGAATTCGGACCCCTATCTCAATCCTAAACCCTACTATTTGCTTAAGAACCCCCAAAAAATAAAGAAATAGTAATTAATCCCTATATTAGCCCTATAAGGAATATATTTTTTATTTTTTGGGGGTTCTTAAGCAAAAAGTAGTAGTTGCATTTATCTCCGACCCCTTCCTTGGAACAAGCCTCAGGTGTGAACTCCCTGCCACCGCAAAGAGCCGAAACCAGAAGACCGTATGAAAAGGCTCAGGATTATGTAAGAGTTTTGGGCTTACATCCTAAAGGAACGGAGTACCGATGTAGTAGATAGTTCGGTCCTAAGAGTATGTACTTTACTAATACTGATACTCCGAGCCCTGAGGAATCTCTACGAACATGGGGCTATTATCCTGAACACCAAATTCATCTTGCGGCGCCTCTTTCGAAGCCCATCCAGTCGCGGTGACCAGGAGGAAGGTTGAGATGGTGGAACCTGGTTTAGGGCTTGGGGCTTTTTCGGGTTCAGGGTGGAACTTGGGATTAAACCCTAAACCCTAAACCCTAAACCCTAAACCCTAAACCAGGGTGGAACTTGGGTTTAAATTGGTTGGCTACGGCGAAACTCCAAACTTGCAAAAGGGTTTCGTCCCAAGGGATGCTCGGACAAGCCCTGTGGCTGAATACCAGGGACTTGGCAAATCTGAGTTCAAACATCACATAGGAGCCTGAATATGCAGAATAGAGATTTGGTGTTCATTGTAGTAACTTAGTTAGTCCAGTCTCCGGGTGCTCGGGCCAGTTCTGATTGGATTGAGCAGGTCGGGCTTCTCAGGTCCCAGGGTTTCTTTGTTTCACCGAATTAGTTTGTTGCCAGAGGCGCGACCTAACCGTCACAGAGCCTTACGAAAGAAAGTAGTAACTTAGTATAACTATGATAGGGAACAGGGAATCCTAGGGTAGTATTGGTATTTAGTTAGGCGACCGCCTAAACCCCAAACCCTAAACCCTGAACCCTAAACTCCACACCCTAAACCCCAAGCATTAGGACCCCTGGTTTTGAGCTTTGCCCGCTCCCCCGAGCTCCAGACCACGAAGATCAAGTCGCCGCTGTTCTTGATCCTGTTTAGGGTTTAGGAGTAGGGTTTAGGGGCTATAAAGGTTTAGGGGTTGCCCATAGACTCCATTGTAGTTCCTTCTTGTGATTCATATTTAGGATCCTATCAGGTAGTCCCAAAAAAGGAACGACCATGGAGCCTGTGGGTAGGGACCGGGGTATGTGCGTATGTAGGATCTTAAGCTAGGGATTTAGGGGCTTTGGTGTTTTATCAAGGTTTGGGGATTTTCGGTTCGCTGAGCAAAAGCAGGGATGGGGGGAGCAGGGAGGGAGCCAAAACTCCAAATGGGTGGTTGTCAAAATTATGGTCCCTTTTTGGGTCCCTAATGTAACACGGCACCTATTATATACGGTATCCCAAAGAGAGACCTTAGTTTTGAGAACTACCCAAATGCAGATAGTCGTGGTAAAATCTGAAGCAGACTCTGTACAAGGAGATCTTCGTCTTAAGGACCCCGAAGTCAGGCACCGAATGTCTTGAACACCTCAGGAAAACCCAGGCAACCTTGTGTTTCAGGAGCCGGAAAGGCTCCAGTAAGTAGGGTTTCAGGGCTCGGGATTTAGGTTTCGATTTGAGGGTTCGGCGAGCTTGGGGAATGAAGGGTGTAACACCCGGTTTGATGCCCGATGCTACTTTACATCATGCTTTATAGGAAACCACTTACTAGTAAAAGGGATCCGTTTTTCACAATCTTAAGAGAAGTCAATCTGGTTGATGATAGATTCCAGCCTCGCGGAGGGCTGCTCGATGCTGTAGCGAAGCTGGGATCTTAGAAAACTTCAAAGAAGAAGCCACATGGCTTTTCATAAGGTTGTGATCGCCTTCCTTCAATCAGATTGCAGAGCGAGTCTGACTGTGCTAAGAAGCTTAGCAGAGTTGCTTGGTGATGACATCTCTCAGAGGAAGCGACGCTAAGCCGAGGCCTGATCATCAAGCCCTGTGGAGAGCTTTAAAGTAGAAGCCAGAAAGTTGGAATATCATTATCGTAACCCCTTTAAGGTACATTACAGGGGATCCTACCATTAATCCATATTCCAACTTTCTGGAGTTCCCCTTAGGTCTTCAACGAGACCCATCGTCGAATTTGGCGTACTTGCCTCTTGTTCGACAAATATTAGGCGCACCACCCCATCGGTCGCAGGGTTAGAGGAGTTGATCTCAAGTTCAAGAGCAGCAGAGTCGGACTCTTCTATAGACCTTGAACCCTAAGCGCGAAACGATTCACGCTGAAATTGAGGTCCAGGCACATTGATGCAGAAACTGCGAGTTCAACATTTAAATGGGTCGAACTATACATATTTTCAAACACATATATATATATATATATATGTGTTTGATTGGTTTATGAGTTTATGACATCCCGGCCCTGACGAGTCTTGGATCCACGGTCCGAACTTAGACCCCAAATCCAAGGCACTAACTAAACACTAACGGTTTAGGGTTTAGGGACCAGGGACATCCAACATGTTGAGGCAGGTGCCCACTGTCCTCAAGCATACCCAGCCGAACCTCACAAATTTCAAAAGCACCCAAGCCCGCCTGCATGACGCCGAAGGCGTCGTAGCTGTTGCCAAACCGAAAGTGTTTCGTTTTGCGGTACTCCTGAGGGCATGGGACCCTTCAGAAGGGGGATCTAGGAGGGGTACTACAAGGGTCTCAATATTTCGAATGGGGTTTTGGGGCCCATGATACTATAGGTCTCATAAGAAACCCCAAAAATAGTATTGGAATTCAATAGGAATCCCCAAGTCTCCCTGGTACTTCCTGAGGTTCCCCTGGGTTTCCCTCAGGTTTCCCAGTACCCTCCCTTTGAACTACCCTCCCTTAAGGGTCTCTGTAGACAGGGCCGAGGATCCGGCTTATGGACGATACCTAAACCTCCCAAAGCAGGTAAACCAATGGCCCAACACCGAACAAAGGCCACGGTCTGTACACTTTCGGGGTCGAGGTAGTTTCGGGTCATAAGATTGGTGCGACAAGGGACTATCATCGCTCAGAACATGGTAGAGTGCTCGTTGTTGGCGTTTTGCTTTGGAGTTTCCATTTGCGTTACATTGTTGGAGTAGGTTAACGAATTCGTGTTGACCTATCGCGATTTCATGCTGATTGCGTTGCCTTGGCATCTGGGAGTCTCGGGCGTCCAAAATGCCAGACACAAATACCAAACAAAGAATACCAACAGCATTCCAGTACCAAACCAAGACTCGAACAACACACCAAGAACATCCAAACACCAAACTACGACTCCAAAACACGGGGCCGAAATCCCATCAGAATGCCAACTAATAGTTTTAACTTGCTCATGTCGAAGGCATGACTGCCCGAAAGTCTGATAGGTTTGGGGTTCCTTTAGTTTGGGTTTTGGGGATGAATTATTGGGCCTGTGATGAGTTTGACATTGGTTGTGCATCTTTTCAGGGACGTGGTCTTCCTGTTGGAATGCATCTTTTCTCGATTCTCGGTGGGCTTGCGGTTGAGGTGTTGCTTGCTGCTGATAATGCTAGCCTTGCTGGCATTTTAGATGACGATAGACGTGACGTCGTGGCTGACCGTGATGATGGCGCCGATGATGACGATGATGATGACGATAACTATGGTGATGGTGATGATGATAATGATGATGATGGTGATGGTGAGGGAGATGGTGATGATGGTACAGAAGAAGATGATGTTGATAATGACGAGGAAGAACATGTTGAAGACGGTGCTGATGATGCTGCTGCTGATGATGATGCTGATGATGACGATGATGATGAAGATGACCATGACGGTGATGGCGATGATGAATGAGAGGATGATGCTGAATGATACGCCTCGTCATGGTGATGGCGGCGGCCGTTGCGACAGCATAATGGTGATTCTCGAGCTTGTGATGGTGTCAGCGCGGGGCGTCGAGGTCAATTCTACGTCGCAAGTGATGATTAGAACAAGGCCCTTACTGATGAGCGTAGCGGCCACCGCGCAACAATCAAGTTGTAGACTGAACCATGATGGTGCATCCGGCGACCGCATCACCTGTACCAAGGCCCGGACCACGTAGAAGTTGAGGAAGTACGTGATGAGGTCCACGCCTTCTTTAACTGTCTCTGCTTTACGGGTCTCGGGACAGGACAACAAGCACCTGTAGCACAACTGTTGAGCAAGAGATTGCCGCGGACCTGATTCACCCTGGCAGGGTACCAGATCCTCTGGAACATCGCAAAAAGCTTCGCGCGATGTGTTGTACATGCTGAGCTGAATCAGCCCAAAGCCAACAAAGCCAGGGACGCGGCCTGATTTGACACCCCACTTGACATGCTTATACCTGCCTGAGCAGGTATGGTTACCCATGAACAACTCTTCCTCTGAAATCTGCAGCTGAACAAAACCCTAGTGAAGCAGGCTTGAACAACTCTGAACCTTCTTACCCTCAACAGTGAGCCATAAACTCCAAATGCTTCGTCTTTTAGGATTTAGGACGTGGGTCAAATTCACACCCTGGGCTGCCCTGCTTGTGTGGGCGGAGTCGGCGATGAGCGCATCGGACTTACCGACAGCACCGGCGACGAGCTGGGAAGGCGGATGGGCTTTGGGTTTGGGCTTGAGGGTAGCCACTAGCCCAGACCTAACATAGGGCTGCTGTGTTGGAGCCTGCACAGCCTAAACAACCACACGCTAAACCCTTGTTGACGCCCAAATCCTCGAGTACATAGCCCGTACAGTAACCCCTATCAGCAAGCCCTTCATTAAGGGGTATTGGTTAGGTACGGCCCCCACTCAGTAATAGTTGAATAGCATTCATAATATAGATATATTATATAGCCCTATTATAGACTCTTACTGTATAGGTTTTTTTAAACAACCTAATATAGTACACTGAATAGTAGGATCCTTATTATAAGGACCCCAAAATAAGTACCCCAAATTTTCGGAAACTCTGGGGCCGTACCCAAGGTATTGGGCTCTCCGTAACCTCTGTGTCTCTTGCCTGGAGCTTTGGGGCTCGGGCTTGGCTCTCGGAACACTTCGAAGCGGCTTATCTGTAGTCTCCATGGTAGTTCCTTTTTTGGGTTACCTTATTTTTGATCCTTAATATATAACTGGTTAGGTTTCGCATTGGGGGTCGAGCGTTTAGTGTTTGCTTGAGCGTCGGCAGTTCCTGTATAGAGATCTCCTTACGAGGGGTTTAGGATTCACCGCTGTAGCGCTCGGTTTAGAGTTGACGGGATGCCAGATTTGCCCTGCAATGAATATCTCGCTCTTATCTGTTTGAGGACTGTGGCAATTGCAGAGGAGTGTCTGTTACTGTTTAACTGCTGGCCCATGCCCCGTGAGAACTTACGACGCCATGACCGACGATATCAAAATCTACTATAGGGGCCTCTATAATTAGAACAGGGTGTTGGGGTATACTATACCATAACTACAATAAGGAACCCCTCACAATAGTACAGGTAATGTCTAATTAAGGCGTCTATATTACGGCATGACCGACGATATCAAAATCTACTGTAGGGGCCTCAATAATTAGAATAGGGTTTTGGGACCCATTATACTATAGTTATAATAAGGAACCCCCTCAAAATGGTACAAGCAATTATTGCGGCCCCTATATTACGTCATGACCGAGGATATCAAAAAATCTACTGCATACCCCCAAGGGTCCATGTACCCAACTAGTATATACTTTGGCTATTAAGGCCCCTGAATTCGTCATGACCGACGATACCAAAAATCTATTGCATACCCCTAAGGGTCCATGTACCCAACTAGTGTGTATATCTATATGCATATATATATATATATACGTTGGCCTTAAAGTGCTCCCTATATAGGTACATTGGGGACAACGTATATACTGTTTGGGTACATGGACCATTAGGGCACTGGCTCCGGATGCGATGGGCTGTATCGATCCGAGCACAATTGAGGAGGTCAGCAACATTTCAAGGGGTAAGCCCTAAACTGAAGCCCTAAAGCCCTCAAGCCCTGAAGCCCTGAAGACCTAAAGACCTAAACTTTAACCCTAAGCCCGAAAAACCCTAAAGGCCCTTAGAACCCTTGTAGTACCCTTTATAGACCCCTTTAAAGGCACGCTAATAGTACCCTGTGCAAAAAAGCCTGGAGCTAAACCCTAAACCCTAAAGCCCTAAAAGCCCTAAAGCCCCTTCAAGACACCCCTAAACCCTAAACCTTCGAGGCAAAAACGTAGTAAAGTCTGGAGCTCCTGCCTGGAAGATTAACACGAAGGATGTCATGAAGCAGACGAAGAGGAGCCATTTGGAATCGGCCTGGCAGGATCTGAGCCCGAGAGTCTCTAGGGCTTAGGGGTTTTAGGGTTTAGGGCTGAGGGTTTAGGGTTTAGGGTTTAGGGTTTAGGGTTTAGGATTTAGGGTTTAGGGTTTAGGGTTTAGGGTTTGAGGGCTTTAAGGTTTTAGGGTTTTAGGGCTTTAGGGTTTAAGGGCACTGTTCCACATGCAGCAGGCATTGCATAAGTCGGCCATCTGTTGAATGAAACATTCCCCCTCTACCTACATGCAGCACGTCTTCGACAATCAGAGCCACATAACACATAGAAAATGGTCAACAACAAATGTATAGATAACAAAGCAGGCTAGGTGTGAAACAAGGAAGCCCGAAGCAGACAAAGCTGTCTCAAAACGAGCATTAAGTAATATTATCTTGATTAAAACCACTACTAGTTAACATTATTATCATTATTAGTAATTAGTAATATTTTTAGCAGTAGCAGTAGTAGTAGCAATTAGTAATATTTTTAGCAGTAGTAGTAGTAGTAGTAGTAGTAGTAGTAGTAGTAGTAGTAGTAGTAGTAGTAGTAGTAGTAGTAGTAGTAGTAGTAGTAGTAGTAGTAGTAGTAGTAGTAGTAGTAGTAGTAGTAGTAGTAGTAGTAGTAGTAGTAGTAGTAGTAGTAGTAGTAGTAGTAGTAGTAGTAGTAGTAGTAGTAGTAGTAGTAGTAGTAGTAGTAGTAGTAGTATAGTAGTAGTAGTAGTAGTAGTAGTAGTAGTAGTAGTAGTAGTAGTAGTAGTAGTAGTAGTAGTAGTAGTAGTAGTAGTAGTAGTAGTAGTAGTAGTAGTAGTAGTAGTAGTAGTATAGTATAGTAGTAGTAGTAGTAGTAGTAGTAGTAGTAGTAGTAGTAGTAGTAGTAGCAGTAGCAGTAGCAGCAGTAGCAGTAGTAGTAGTAGTAGTAGTAGTAGTAGTAGTAGTAGTAGTAGTAGTAGTAGTAGTAGTAGTAGTAGTAGTAGTAGTAGTAGTAGTAGTAGTAGTAGTAGTAGTAGTAGTAGTAGTTTAAGTGTCTGAATACAAGAGTGCCTTTCATAACCGACGAAGATGACGCAATGACAAGCTGACTGTATCCACCACTTGTGGAAGATTCACTTCGCGATGTTGCACATTTCCTCGAAGCCTGAGCACACCACCAACATCCGCAACTTACACGGGCAAACAGACACACTGCGGACTCTGATGAAGAGCCGGGAATCTCGAAACTCATTCCGCTGAAATCCCTCAAACTAAGTATCCCGAAACATGCATGATCGCAGCATCCTAACTCGAAACATCCCTCAAACTCCCCTAAACCCCAAACCCCAAACCCTAAACCCCAAACCCCTAAACCCCTAAACCCCTAAACCATAAACCGCAAACCCCTAAACCCTAAATCCCTCAACCCTCAACCTCCCCCAAAGGAGCGTGCCCTCATGCGGTCCACGTCGAACATCTCATGGCCCCACGGGCCGAGGAGGTTGAAAGTCATGGCTCCAGATTCTAGGATTCTAGAGCCCGCAAAATGGGATATCCCATATAAACCCCCTTATAATGAAGATCAAGAAGGTAGGGATAGCCCTACAAAATGCTCATGTATGCCACGGTTTGGAAATCTGGCTTTGGTCTACATGTATATATATATATATATACACACATGTACACATACATGTCTATCTAAACATACACATATACACATAATTATAAATGCGTACACATGCATATACTGCTATATAAGTTAGTTTGCCTTGTTACTGAATATTGCGTGTTGTTTGCTACTCCAGAGACCCTTCATACTGGGATTCCTGATCAAAGCGCCTGCCTGCTAAGCTTCGAGCAAAGCCGGCTAAAGGACAGAGGGTTTGGGGGATTCGGGATTTTCAGAGGTTTGGGGGTTTAGGGGGTGTAGGGTGAGCACTAAGGCGCCTCTGGAGATGTTCGCAGGCTCCGGATTTTCATGCGATGGGGTAGAAGGCTTAGAGTTTAGGGTTTTGGAGGTTTGAAGAATTGGTGGTGGTACCCCACTTTCACCCCGTATTAAAGTTGAGACAAAGTACTGCACAACTCTATTCCGTATGCTGACCACTGAAGCCCCTACCCAATACTCCACAAGAAAGCAATATACCTGAAATCTTAGTATCCGGCCCCCTTTATCTTGTATGATTGAGGGGCGTTGAGTCCTCTGGGCATCCTAAACCTATGCCGGCACAGACCTGTCACCCATCCAGCCCAACCGAAAAATGCAGGCTTGGGTTTTAAAGTAGAGACCTGGAGATTCCAATAGCCCTTGATTATGGAAAAATCCTTAACTCATATCAGGGATCCTACTATAAGTATTGCTTAATTGAGAGATATCGGAGTCTCTGGGAAGCCCTAGCTTGGCTTCAGGCTCTGACGATCCGGCAAGGCGCCTTTTACTGACTTTGCGCAAAGGCCGTGAAAAGGCATGGCAACTGGCAATGCACTTTGTGCAGTTGCTTGCCTACAAGAGCCGGGTGGAATATTTTCTCGGATATTCAGGGTGTAGGGTTTAGGGTATTCGGAGGTTAGGATTTAGGGTTTAAGGTCACATTGAGGAGCTCATCGGTGCCATTCGGGCTTTGCAAGGGCTACGGCATACTGGGTTTAGGTTTCAGGGTCCGTTTCGGTGTGTTTGCATTTTGAAAACGGCCCTTCAAGCCACGATCTTGGAGGGACATTCCCTTCAGGTGAAGAGTATGCTTTTGTGTGTCGGGTTGACCTGTAGCCCAAAATGGCTTACCTTTTAGATGTTCCTTAATATGGTTCCATGAACCAATTTTCTTTATACACTTCCGTAGACAGGCAAGTTTTGGGTTACAGGGAAGGTTCGGGGTCGCTCTGTTTGGCATAGAGAGAGCCTCCATCCCGGCCCATCCACGGCGTGCATTAGCTTTTCTGACACACGACATCGTTAAAGCCAAGCTGGATCCGTGAACCCTGCCCTAAACGCTAACCCTAGTGCGACATGCTAAACTTCTATAAACCCGGACCCCTTTATGAGTTCCCTGTCGCTTGAAGGTGGGGTCCACCATGTAACTTCGTAACATTGTTGGGCATAACAATGATCATGATGAGACTACACATCATAGTAGTCATGGTAGATGTAAGCGTGAGCAACTAAACAAAAACATGACGACATAAGTCAATAACATGATGTACACCCCAACGCCCCTAGGCTTCTCAGTTGAATCCTTCGGACCACATCTGTTTCGAGGGAAGGCAGATCCAGAGCCCCCATGAGGGTACTTACAGTCTCCATTGCACCTACTTTTTTTGGGCCACCCCTCGGGATTTAAGGAGTCCTACATTCAGGCCTTTGGGCCCAAAGACCATACTGTATAAGGCTTTTGGGCTATCTTGATCCCTAGGGTACCTTGTAGGATTTCGAGTAGACAAGTGCTAAACCAAAAAAAGCTACAATGGAGGCCGGAGGTAGAGTATCATAAATACGGAACCCCCATGGGATGACAACGCTAATTATTTCGACCCGTACATCACCAAACCCTCAAAAAACGCTGTGACATGTGAAATTCGGGTCGTGCTGTACGTAGTTGACACTGCAACTGTATAGAGACTGCAGGGGCGGGGACATTCTCACTACTTACTATTGGTCATCCTTATTCATGCACAGCCCCAGAACGGAATGCCCGCCACTCCAAGGATCAAGGTCCAGAAAGTTCGAGAACATAAATCAAAACCGGTCTTGCCAGTACTCTGATGGGGACTATGCGAACTACTAGCATTCTTAATCCCTACTTCCTAAGTCAAACCCAACAGACCAGTTCAAAACCTTATGAATGCCTGCCCACCGCTTCAACAAAAATCCCGACCGACACTCCGAGTTCCATCTGAAGGCATCTCCTGTGGGTTGACTGGCTTCTTGTTAAGGAATTTGATTTAAGTTGCCATAATGGGGATCTATCGTAGATAATGTGGCTGTTAGGGAATTTAGTTTAAGTTACCATAATAGGGATCTATAGTAGATAATGTGGCTTCCTGATTTTTATGGTAACTTAGATTATCAGTTCCTTAACAAGAGCCCAGTTTAGAAAAGACGGTTTTTATAAAAACCCCTAGTTCCTTAACAAGAACCCAGTTTAGGGGTTGAGGGTCAAGAGGACGAGGGTTGAGCGCAGGCGTTTAGGCTTTGGGGGAGTGGAGAAACCATGGACCCTAAACCGTAATTGCCTAAGCCGGTGTCGTACTATGTTTAATTAAAGTGATCCATAAGCCCTGAACCCTATACCCTAAACCCTAAGCCGCTGTCGTCGTGCCAGTTTAAAAACGCAGTCGGCACTGTCGATGCACTTTCTGCGCTTCCCCGGGGGCCTGCTTTGAGTTCGGTTACACCCTAAACCCCTAGACCTCAACCTCTAGACCCTGAACCCCCAAATCCCTAAAGCCATCATCTAATCCTAAACCCCTATATACCTACCGAAGTGTAGGGCTCAGGCTCCTGGGCTAAGCGCTTCCGGCTTGCGGTTAAAGGTTGAAGGCTGGCGGCTTAGGGTTTAAAGGGCTTCGGGCTTAGGGTAGGGTGTAGGGTTTAGGGTTTAGGAGTTAGGGTTTAGGGTAGGGTCTAGGGTATAGGGTTTAGGGTTTAGGGTGTAGGGTTTAGGGTTGAGGGTTTCGAAACCAGCTTGGGGCTCATTGGGTTGAGGGGCCTCTGCCGGATCCGGCGCATGGTAGACCCCCGACCAACAAACCAGCTTCCCGCCAAGATCCTGATTGTAAGATCCCTGTTCTCATCCTTGATCAAGAAAGGGTTTTTACTAATCAGGGGTCTGCGCTAAGGGCAACTTTGTGCAGAGCCGTTGGTTTTTCATTACTGTACAGTAACAGCATATCCTTCAAGGTCCTTAGATAACAGCATGCCCTGGAAGCCTATGCCAATTCTGGTGGCAACTGGTGAACTCTAAACCCCAAACCCTAGAATCAAAAACGGCACCTAGGATTGCAGTGCTGTTTACGGCTTGAAGCTTCAGGAGATGACTTGAGCTAAAGGTCTTAAACTTCAGTCTTACTACACGGGCTTACCTTAACCCTGAATAACCCGGCTTACCTTAACTCGGAATAGCCTACCTTTCTTTAAGGACATGTATAAGGAAATCATAAAGAAAGGAACCATTAAAAGGTAGGTTGTTCAGGGTTAAGTAGGGCTTAGGATTGGGGGTATTAGGGTTGAAGTCAAGATCCTCGGCATCTGGTATCATCTGGTTACTGTTTTGAACCCTAAACCCTAAACCCTGGTATGAGGCTTTATCTGGCTTGGGTGTTGCTGCAATTTCCATGTAGCTAATGACGTAATGATTATGGTTTATGATTATCATCACGAGTTAAGGGTTCAGACTACTGCAGTCATGGTCGCACATGGGGACCGTAAACCCACGAACCTAGACCTCAACCCCTACACTCTACAACCTAAACACCGTACTCTAGACACTCACCCCTAACATGATGGGAGGCCAAAAGGGGGGTTTCAGATTTCTGGGGTAGGGATTCCTGAATATATATCCCCGTTATGGGAACCCTAATCTCTACTAAACCCCCATATAGGCTAAAACCCCTTTTGGCCTCCTATGATAAAACTCTGACTATAGAAGCACCCCTAGACTGAAACGGCCTGAAGAGCTGAAACCGTAGGGCCCTAAACCCTAAAAGCCTAAGCCCTGCACAACCCCACACCTCTGAACCCTCGAGGGTATATAGTTTAGGGCGTAAGGTTTAGGGGTTCTTTCTGAGCTGCTGCAGGCCCCCGTCCCTCCTACTCCACATCTTGCCAAATATTGGTGACACATCGGCGCAGATGACAGCATAGCATCTATGCAAGGGAAAGGAAAATAACCATGCCTACGAAAGGTTACCACTAAGTGAGAGACTGGGTTTGTAGAGGCTTTTTGGGTGAAGGAAAAAGGGTAGACTTCAACGGTACCGTGCATGCAGGGCCCCGAAGCCTAGCAACAGGGCGATTGACTTTGTCCCGGACTACGAACTGATTAACCGACTTAGCCGTTCGCTTTGAAGCAGCAGCCTCACATGCACATGCGTCCAAGATTTACACAAGAATCTTGCAGAAGCTATTGTCTCTCAGATTCAACAAGCCCGCAGCCTACATGCGTATATGCCTGCCGCGGACACGATCCCAGTAGCACAGTTTCCCAGCAAACTGTGCCAAAAGAACAGAAATTCAGACATATTCCGTACTTCGCGGAAAACCCTAAACCCTAAAACCCTGAACCCTAAACCCTAAAACCCTAAACCCTAAACCCTATGGAAGCCCATATTTCCTTAGTTGAGGGGGTCTTGGGCTCTCCGGGTTTATCCTTGCATTCGCGCGGCTAATAAGCCTGAGCAACAAGCAGCCAGCTTCTTTTGCTATATCTATATCTATATACCTATATATCTTTATATACATATGTATATGTATATATATATATATATATATGTATACAAGTGCCTGAACGTCTCGAA